ACGTGGAAATTTGGGGACGTGGGGATTTGGGGACGTGGGAATTTGGGGATACAGGAATTTGGGGATGTGTGTGTCTGAGGATGTAGGAATCTGGGGATGTAGGAATTTGAGGTATAGGAATTTGGGACATACGAATCTGGAATACAGGAATTTATACTATAGGAATTTGCCTAATATAATTTTACTAAAAAAGTAAATAATTCTGAATAATAATTATTACCAATAAATCATTACACGATCAATAACCCTTCTTCTATTTTCGAAAGAACATATCCAAAGGCAACCATGTCCATTATCCGCCATTTTCAGTTGAGCCTTCCCTGGAGGAAATGGACGTTATCGTTTGACGTAGCAGAACGAATGCTCGACACCTTGGCGAGTTGTCGACACGCGTTGCGTGCGCAGGAGCCGAGATTGTTCGCGAACAACAACAACAGGGTTCGTTTCGCCGTTGTGCAACACAATGTCCACCGTGTTGATTCAATTAGACGCGTTCAAGTATCCGAAGTAGGTCGAAAACAAAGATGCATGGACGTGGGGGACAAGCAACCGATGAGTTCGTTCGTGTAACGTTGTTACGAGAACTAATGGAATCCAACATCGCAGTTGGACTCCAAACGACAGATAGGATACCTATCCTGACTACCGTCTCAACAGCGACACACCAAATTGAATGAAATTGCAATTTGGAAATTAATCGCTGGCTGTCCGTTCGCCTACTCCTCGTACGTTCCATCCTGGAATTGCAAATTTACCCGGCTACGTTTACTTCCTCGAGGAGTTCACTTATCTTTGCTCGATCACTTTGTCTTCTTGCTGTTTCAAACGCTATTTGGTTAGTTGCCATGAGTTGATGACTCGCTTTAAGATTGTTGACCCTGGGGTTACGAATTCTCAGATCTGAGAATTATTAGATTCTGGAGTTACATTCTAGAATTTCTAAGTATCTGAATAGGTCTTAAATAACTTAAGCTCTCAAGTTTTGAAGGGTACAAATTGTTAGACGTCAAATCTGAAGATCAGTGAATCTCTGAAAGGGTGTCACAACTTGGGTGTATAACTAGAGATGCTCCTGGTAAAGGGTTGTAGTGGATGTGATTCTCAACAATTTTTCTTTTGCAATAATGGGGTTTGAAGCTTAGTGTTTACGTGTGTAGTCGAATTCCTACATTCTTGAAATTCTATATCTGAAACCTTGAAATTCCATATCTCTATGTCCCTAAACCCCATATGCTAAGTTCCGACATTTGATATATCTCTATCTCAAATACTTACATTCCACATTCCTATATCTCCCAAATTCCTATACCTCTGCAATCCAAAACCTCAGGTCCCCAAATCCCTACATCCCCAAAAATCTACACCTCCAACTTTCTCCACCACCAAACCTTAACCTTCCACACCAAAATAATTCCAAATCACTTACTGGTGTCCTTGCATCCCCTCAGCTCGATACGAAGGCAAACGGTGCGCCTGTGTTCCGAATGTGGCAGAACCCGAATCTGGCTGGCGAAGATCGGTGGTATCAATCGATGGGAAACCACGGTCGAGGTATCGCTGTTTCCAGCCAGGACCTGCAACACCAAAAACTGGTTAAAGAACATTCTGACAATTTTTGTCAGCGAATAAGCATCGCGTCGGCCATCGTTTGAACGGCTCATTGATTAACGACAAGTATATTGGTGAAAGGACGATCGAATTAAAGCGATCCATTAATCGCGAACGATTATCGTCGCTCAAATTGTCGGCACTCGTCGATCCTTCCGACAAAATGTATTCGATCAACGCGATCCTAAGTAAATTTGTCCGCGATACAATGTTTTGCGCGATGCACTCGCTGACCGCTATATAATTATCGAGTTAATTGCGATAATTTCGCCGATTCAATTACAACGGACGATTAATACGTTCGGGCGTTCGTGGCAGCGCTAGAATAACGGGTTCCGAGTACAGTCCGGTGCAAATGTATTCCCTAGGGATGATATGGGAAGTAATTATAGCTTCTGTTATGGCTTTAGGTACTTTCGCATTGTGGATGAAATGTGGAAATTTGTGGATGAGTTGGTACAAGAATTTAGAGATTTATGTATGTGGAAATATAGGGATTTAGAGGTGTAAGAGAGGTTTGAAGGATTAAAGAGATTTAGAGGGTTAGAGATTAGGGTATTTGAGGAGTTAAGGAGTTGGGGTGTATTTAGGGGTGGGTTTGTGAATTTGCAAATTTGGGAGTTTAGAAATTTGATTTGACACTTGTGGATTTGGTAGTTTGGAAATTTGGGAGGTTGCGAATGTGGACATGTAGTGATTTCGGGATTTAGGGGTTTGATGATATAAGTATTTCAGAATGTAGGAATTTGGATATCCAGGTACTTTGAAATAACAAAACTTAGGAGTGAGGATATTTGATTCTTGTATTTGGAACTTTGTGGATTAGGGAATCTGGAGATGTGGATGTAGGGATGTGGGTCTAATGATGTGGATCAAAGAATGTGGATGTAGGGATGTGGATCTAAGGATGTGGGTCTAGTGATGTGGATCTAAGAATGTGGATGTAGGGATGTAGATCTAAGGATGTAGATCTAAGAATGTGGATGTAGGGATGTGGATCTAAGGATGTGAATCTAGGAATATGGATCTAAACATGCGGGGTTAGAGATGTGGATCTAGGGATGTGGTCCTAGGTATGTGGATCTAGAGATATGGATTTATGGACATCCATAGATCTGAATCTGAAGCATGAAAATTCACAAACACCCAAACTGAAAAATCTGAAAACCTGTAAACTTCTAAACTACCAAACATGAAAACCTATAAACATGAACATCAAAACATTCAAAAGCTTGGAAATATTAAAATTGATGATCACATAGTTGCATAGCTAACATACGTATCCAGATGCAGAGGAGTCATAGGTTGCATCCGAGTGTACCACACGATTAATTCGGTAGTGGACCGTTTCGCGAAACAATTTCGTATCTGATAATAACCGGGCGTTGATCGTGGACGAGCGATTCGCAAACGCGCCACGATCCATGGGGAGAGGTGGTACACGTTGATGCACGAGCTACGTACCGATCAAATCGACGTCAATATTAATCAACTTACTATGAAATCTCAGTGCAAGCGTGCGTGTATGCACGCCCCGTTCAGACATAGATCATGATTGCATCGATTCGAAGGTAATGCCATGGTTAATGCACCCGTTAGACTGAACCACGTGAATTATCATTCGGATAAACTTTGACGTTTGAGTCGCTGATAAGTGAAACTAGTCTGAATCCTTGTAATAAGACGACATTTGTGCATTTGGAACGTATTGAGGTTTGTGAGGATCAAATAAATTTTATTGTTTGACAATTATTTAATTTATAGTCCACTGCCATAATGTTCTATGGTAAGATGTACTCTACACTATAGGATTATAGGAGCAATATATGAATTATAGGAATAATTTATGGACAGGAGTGTGAGCTAATATGTATAAACATTAGTATTTTATTTATTGTACACTGTCTTCAAATTCAAATAAAATGCAAAAACCTTGGCGTTCTACTAGTGTGACGTCAGATGAATATGAGATACCTATTTTGTTATCTGACTACTTCCTGACAATTATTATGCTTGTCCTAATTACAGCAGAATGAAACCCCTTATGAAAACCATAACTGCATAATTGTGCAGCACAAACTTCATAATAAACAATGAATAAATTATAGAAAAGTGATTCAATTTACGTCTCCCGCAAATAAGGAATAGGATTTTCCTTGAATAACGCGTCTGCACGGGCAACCTCCATTTCCAGGAGTGTCGGCCAAATACAAAACGAGGCTCTCACGCCAGCGTGCAATAAATTATCGTTGTTCGCGCAAGACGCGTCGCAGAACGCCTATCGCGGCTGAAATTACTTAATTGGACAATTCTCGGGGAAACGGCTCTTAATTATTCGATGATCACAGTCAGCCGGGGTTGCCACGAAATTTAATTGCTGACCCCGGCTGTGCGTATTTCGAATTCTATCATCGGTGAAATTGATAACGTACTTCATGAAATACTTGATACACATCACTATTCATTTTTATTCATTTATATATTCATTACTTATATTTATTCATTTTATACATATATTTTTAGTGGTATGAGGTTATGTTCGCCGGTGCTGTCCTCTTACGGACATTAAAAATATCTGAGCCCCATTTTATTTTACTATATCAAGTTTTTTAGGTTTAAGTTAGTTGATAATGAGTTAGGTGCGTCATGAGGTTACCAGGTTCGTCAGGTGCGTCATGAGGTTACCAGGTGCGTCAGGTGTGTTAGGTGCGTCATGAGGTTATCAGGTGTGTCATAAGGCTACCAGGTGCGTCATAAGGTTACCAAATTAGTCAGGTGCGTCAGGTGTGTTAGGTGCGTCATGAGGTTATCAGGTGTGTCATAAGGCTACCAGGTGCGTCATAAGGTTATCAGATTAGTCAGGTGCGTCAGGTTTGTTAGGTGCGTCATGAGGTTACCAGGTTCGTTAGGTGTGCCAGGTGCGTCATGAGGTTATCAGATGTGTCATAAAGTTGCCAAGTGAGTCATAAGGTTACGAGGTCAGTCAGGTGCGTCAGGTACGTCATGAGGTTTAAGGTTCGTTAGATGCGTCAGGTGCATCATGAAGCTATCACATGCGTCAGGTGCGTCATGAAGTTGCCAGATGCGTCAGTCTTAACTGCTACAATATTAAAATAATTAAAGTAAAAACAATAAATATTAACTTCAAGTTAAAGCATATTAATTTGAGCGATTTGAGTGAAACATTAAGTCATGTTTGAACTCAGACTCCTTCCGTACGGCAGTATCTTCACTCTACTGCATTTATTCAGCGAATAAATATTAAACAACAATCACGAACCTGAAACCCGATCCACTTTCACGATACCGTACACGAGTTCGCGTAAACTTCGATTTTATAGTAAATAAGAAAAAAAGTAAAGGGTGGAAAAAATTGGTCGGACAAGTTGATGCGTTACACGGCGCCAGAAGCAACGTTTCTGGCATACAGGCAGTTATCGATGATCGAAAGTTATCCAGCTCTTTTCCACGGTTCAATCTTTAGGGAACAGACTTTGAGCACCGTGACTCGAATCGCGTTCGAATCGTCTACATCCGCGGAATCATAATAAGGAGGATTGGAATTTGAACTTGGAACACGTCCCTTTCCAACGAAACAGGGAACACTTATTGTTAGTCACTGACCTATATCTTCCTTTGAGTGCATTGTTACGAATTTATGGAAATTCGGTTCGATGATATGGTGGATCGATGAATTTTGATTATATTAGTTTGTTGGGTTATTTGTTGTAAGGTTGGAGTTGTTGTGGACAAGGGAAATTTCGACTAGTTACTTTCTTATGAAGTTAGAGATATTACACAATAAAATTTGAGAAGAGTGGGACAAAGTCGAATAGTGAGAAAAAAGTTTCGAAAATGGACATTTGGGAAATTGGAAATTATGAAATCAGGGAATTAGGGATCTGGGGAATTGGGAAGTTAGAAATTGCGAAATTAGAAGTTGGGAAATTCGGAGTGGAGAAATTAGGAATTGGGAAATTGGAAATGGGAAAATTAGCAATTGGGAAATTAGGAATTGGGAAATTAGGAATTGAGAAATTAGGAATTGGGAAATTAGGAATTGGAAATTAGGGAATTGGGAAATTAGGGAATTGGGAAATTAGGGAATTGGGAAATTAGGAGTTGGACAATTATGAGTTGGGAAATTAGGAATTTGGGAAGTTAGGGAATTAAGAAATTGGGTGTTGGGTAATTAGGAATTGGGAATTTAGGTATTTGAGAAATTAGGGAATTGGGAAATTAGAAGTTGGAAAATTGAAAATTTCAAACCTTAACATTTCATACTAAAAAATTTCAAAATTTGAGGACTAAGCTACGTGAAAATTAGGTAATCACCTAATTCGACAATATACCAATTCCAAAATATAATAATTTAGCAATCTGTAATTTCAGAAACTGTGAAACTTGCAAATACCCAAATTCGTAACTTAACAAATGTTTAATCATCCGACCTAAGATATCCAACATCCGCCACTGCAGAAAGTGACTATAAAGATCTAATCTACTCCGGTACCCTAATTACCACCGATGAACCTCCCTAAAACATCATGTAATTTTCATCTCCCACCCTTAAGAACGTTCATTCTGACCCAGTGAATCTTGAACACGGTCAATTTACGTGGCGCCAGTGTATCGTGAACAAACCTCACGGTTAATCCTTGACGGGAAAATAAAGGACGGGGGTTGGATTTGATTGCGGTCACGTTATTCAGGATCTCTCTCGTCCGCCTTAACGTACTTCTACACCACTGTCAACAAACGTGTTCTAACCTACATGTCAGCACGTACCTCCTTGTTATCCCAGCGCTTATATCGTCGCCACTCGGTGAATCCAGGACGTCGATACTCCAGGGTGTACTCCTCCACGTATTCCTGTCCACGACCGTGATCGTAACGACCCTGACTCTGTACACCGGTGATCACGTGAGGTCCGGAAAGATCCACTTGCAACCACTCACGAATTCCTCTCTCTATTTGGCTCTTAGGGCACCAGGCTCCGCCTGCCGTCTCCTTGCGCAGCCTATTTTCGACAGAATTTGTTAACGTTACCGCTGCTTTTCATGAATTTTCATGATACCTCAAGGTCGGTGGCTTTCAGACCCCTTTCAATATCGTATGGCCCTTAAGGACATGGGAAATTCAATCGCATATTAACGCTGGAACTACCGGCCGAAATCACTGCTTGCAGGTTATGTTGCTAAATTTTATTTTTGGGAGTTCGTCAAAGTTATTATTATTTTTTTATGAGATAGTGCTAGTTGATTTATTAATGTTTCAACATTCATTTATTTTAGTCTTCATTCGCAGTTTAAGTACGCTGGTAGTTCTAGTGTTAAGTGCGGTTCCAACTGGGGTGACTTGAATTTTTATAATATTTAGAGTGATGGTTGGTATTTTGTTGTCAAAGGAACCTGTCTGTGAGTTTAGCTTTGAATGATCAATTTTGAGGTAAATGCATTTCAAGCTTAAAAAGTACCCAATACTATTGTAATGTGATATGGATGTGATAAAAAAATTTTACTTATTAAATATTGTGGTGTAAACATATGGGACTAGTAATTTGCTCGACTCAAGTTCGAATTTACTTATGATGAATTTTTCTTTCAACAAGTATTTATTGAAATTTCAATTATTTTGTGTATACTCTGTTATTAGTACTCTTTGTACATTTTATACATGTATTTTGATGCAAGCTTGTTTTACGAATAATAAATAATAAATACTTATATTGCCATTCACTTCTGTATAAATATAGAATATTTTAAAATTTATATGTATTATGAAAACGAAAAAAAAAACACACCAAATTTCCATAAATATCTCGCTATTTACCCCGGAAGTAGAAGCTCGCAAATTAATTCATTTCAATCAACTTCAAACAGCTTTCGATAAAATGAAATGATTTCAAAAAAGACTTTCATCGAATTCATACCAACATACTCGAGAAATATCATTTGCCATATTTGCAGGTTCAAAGGGTTTCGTTGCTAATTCGTGCATCGATATCCCCAATGGCGAATACTTTCAGACGTTTGTCTCCTCGATAAACATTTATCGTCGCGAGAATCGTCAAGCAATTTCATTAATTAACCCCTCGAACTAAGTAACTTTCGAGCTTGCACTTAAAAGCGTCCCTCAGCATCCAGTTCTCTCGATCGCGTCGAAGATCGTCCGAGTAAAGTATTATATTAATTAATAACTTCCGTCGAATGAAAAATTACCTTTCGATTATTGAGAAAGAAGGGTGTAAAGGGTGAAACGAACCGTGCATCGGACGTCCGCCATTTTGTTGTGGACGCAGTTTTTATACGATTATTATTGCAGAATTTTAGGGAGGAACATTTGTCACTGAATGAAAACTGTTTTCCAAGTTTCTTTTTATAGTAATTAATCGTGTCAGATTTCGATTTTAGCTTCATTGATTAAATATTTTCTGTTTACATTTTTATTATATTCTGTTGTACTTCTTCCTTATTTTATCATGTACATTTCAGTTTTATTATTTATTGTTTCAATGTGCATTCATAAATAATTATAAAAGTTGTTAAATTATTATATCATACATATTATCTGTATATTATATTATATAAAAGATATTGTCATTCTCATACGTCCATCGTTCCAATAAATTCCCGTTTATTGTACACGAAATAAAAACACCATTTGATCATTTAACAATATTATTTCTCAGTAACATGTACCTCCCTCACTAACTGACCACTATAATCCAGACTATGTATCCCTTAAATCAATCACAATTCTCAGCAATATATGTTACAATACAACACGCGATGATTTATCGCGTCCACATAACACGCGGTTACTTATCGCGCGTCCATATAGTACGCGGTCACTTACCGCGCGTCCACATAACAAGCGATGATATATCGCGCGTCCTACCAATACAATCTACCAAAAGAATTTAACAAAAGCTTCTCCGAATCTGCAGGGATTCGTAAGTTAATGTTTCATCGAGTGCCGAGCATGAACGGGAGGTTCGTCTAGGCACAATTATAGTCCTCCGGCTATCACAGCATCGTTCGAACAAAGAAGAACAATTCACGAGGCCATTCGCCGACTTCAAGAAGTTCTTCGGTTCGAGAGAAGTGTACTTAAACAGCGAATCTAGGTTTGAGTTTTTTTTCTGCCCCCTCCAGGTCTCGCTATTCTATTTGCTCTTTACGTTTCTTCTCGTCCTCGTTCGTTTCGATGTTCTTCGCGTTCGTTCTAAATCGACTCCGATGAAACTTGGCGAAACTTTCACCGCCTATCGACTCTCAGCACCGTGATTTCTACCTAATAACGAAGTTAACTTGCGGACTGATGAGAGCATCCTCGTTTTTCTTGTCTTCGATGAGGACGATTAATTCGATGAATCCCTGTAGCGTGTTTGAGGGAAGTTCGGTTGTAAAATAAATATCGATGGACGTAGAAGGTGTAGAAACGATTTAAACCGAGTGCTCCTTTTGCAGGGGATTTCGTCGAATTGTACTAACGTAGATTTGGTGATCAAGCCTATTATTTTATGTACTTTCGAAATTTAGGAACTCGGTAAACTTTGAAAATTTGTTAATTTAATTATTTGAGATTTGTAAATTTAGAAAGTTGGAGTGTGTAGAATTTCAAGATTTTTAGTTTGTATATTTTAGAATTTTTGCATTTCTAAATTTTTAATTTTTTAAGTTTGTGAAATGTAGAGACTCGTTAAAATAGTGCAAGAGGTTAATTTTCAGCGATACAACTTTCTATGATATTTTCATAAAATATGAAAGACAGTGGCAGATGCATCCTTCACGGATGGCAACATGTGGTGTTTTAACTGCACGAGTGGTTTTCATCCGCGAGGCGCATTCGCAATCTCCGTCTGATCACTGCAGTCCGCTACTACTGAATGCAAGACGTAGATAAGGGGTTCGCGTTAATGAATGAGTTTGATGAATGCAAATGATCGCTCAAACGTAATTATTACAGTCCTTGATAGTCCAAAAGATATCCAAATTAATGAACCCCTGTAACACGTTCGCCATTGGGGTCACCCGTGATCTACATTTTAAATTTTTATATTTCAAATTGTTGAAAGTCTGTCGTAATACGGTGACATAAAAATATTGCCATACGTGACGTATCAATTTAAAACTTGAAGTTTGACGAAATTGCTTAAACATTTTATTGATATTTTCGTTACAAAATGGCTGCCTGACGATTTTAATAAAACATAACTATTCAAGAATGACTTATCTTGAAATATGCAAAATGTTTTAAATAATTTAATGAAATAAAATGTGGATCAAACATCAATTTAAAGGTTGAGGTACAACAAACATGGCTGTGTAAACATTTTTGTCTACGTTTTTTATATTTAACACAGCTGCCTGTGAATTATAATAAGCAATAGTCAATTTTGAAACATTAAAAGGTTTGAAATAATTTGGTGACATAAAATGTGGATCAAACATCAATTTAAAGGTTGAGGTATAAAAATATAACTGTATAAGCATTTTGTGTATGTTTTTTATATTTAAAATAGCTGTCTGTCAATTATAATAAAGAATAGTCAATCCTGAGACATTAAAAAGTCTGATATAATTTGATGACAGAAAAGTATTTTAAAATGGCACTCGTGATATGTCAAATTAAAGTTTGAAGCTTGTCTAAAGTGTCTACATATGTGGTTCATCGATGAACTCAATACAAAATGATTGGTTCTTCGTTGAAGACTACAGTGTTTATTCTACATATCTCTTTTAATATTCAATCAGCTAACGTGTTAAATAAATAAAAAATTATATTAAATTTCACAAAAATGAACATGCAGAACTTTTCAGGATATTCTATCTAATAAAATAATCGACCTTGTCACATATTTTTAAGGTCTTAAAAAAATAAAATTGTGTTACATTTTAAACAGTCCTCCCATATCTTCAATATGTAAATATTGAGATGCAAAATTAAAATATAACAAAAATTTCTTGGATTAACAAAAAAATTTCAGCAGCAACATTTTGAACGAAGCGTCATAAACACGTCAAAGTAATAAAATAGAATAGAGTGTTAAACTTTATTTTCCGGAAGGTGGAATTTAAAAACTCCGAGCTCAGCGAGTTCGTAGAAGAGAAACAATGTCGTGACCGGTACTCGATCACACGAATGACTCTCAGTCGTAGCCTTTTTTTACCCAATAACAACGCAATTACCAGCGGGATAATAATTTCCCCTTGAAACTGCCAATGTCGCGCGTAACTTCGTCTTTCCGACCAAGCGAGAGTGGTATCGGCTAGTAGCTGTTTTTATTTTTTCCCCGGAGTTTTCGCAAACGCCAGGAGAAAAGCTGGCTCCTCGATTAATTTCATCGGTCCAACGGCATCGCTGAACACGATTAAAAGTAAAGTTCTCGCGAACCAGCGACGTGTTCGTTAAATTGCAGACGATGGGGACGAAACGACGCGACATTGTAAAAATGGAGGGAAAGTTAAGACTACATCGGTAGATGTTAAATACTGACAGCATCAGTAGATGTATCACTGACACAATGAAAATAAACTGGGGATGTTGACTTATGGTACTTGTATCAATTTTAACTTTTGTAATCTGTTGATTTAATATTGCTTTTTTTTGTTATGAATGATAACTCACCTGCCATTTCGAGGACCGACGTTCGTCACGTACGAAGAGGATGCCGTGATGGCCGAATCTGGTATATCGCCGGATTCCATACCCAAAGACTGGTTGCACGATCCTGCAACAAACAATGTAACTTTATTACATAACTGTCTATATTTCCACGTAATTATATTTATAATAAACTAGCAAATTATATGGTTCTGCAAAATGTTCTCTTTTTGAGGTTAGGATTTTAATATCCAGAGAATGTATACAAATTTATAGATTTTTTAGTGTATTCAGTTATTAAATCTTAGACCATAGTGATTAATGAACTGTCAATTCATGTAACTGTCTTTATGGTTAGTTTCTTATGGGTGTAATAATTAATGTAAGCAATTATTGTCTTTGTTGATAAAGTAATTAAGTAAAGTTGCTACCTTGACGTAAAAATTAACAAAAGCAATTACTGTCGTTATTGATACAGTAACTAAAAAGATGTTCATCTTGAACAACATAGTGATTGAGAAATGTAACTGTTGTCGTAATATGTTAATATAGTAATTATTGTCTTGATCAATACAATTAACAGAAGCACTATAAAATTAATAAAATCAATTACTTTCAAAACAGTATATTTTCCCATCTCCTCGAAACTTTTCAAGCTTGCTAAAATATTCAACCTTCGAAACATTCGATGATCAAACCCGATATCGCATTAAAGCGTATCAATAGCTGGAACTTCTATAATTCGTCGCAAGGTATACGTAAATAAAAACGAAATCAAGAACGTAAACAGCAATCACGAGTTCTGCTCGCTATCGGATACGTGGCGAAGATTGCTTGGCATTATCGACTGATCGCTACACTTTTCAGTTCGTCAGCGTTCACATTTCAATTTGCCAGAAGTTTACTGCCATTCGAGTGTAATCTTTCCATTAAAGTTTTTGCCGGACGATAAGAGTCCGTGAAAAGCTCCGAACAAGATCCGAAGCCGTCTCGGCCCGGATGGATTAATCGATGCGAATAAATTTACATTATCGAAATGGACGGTTCGATTGTCTCGCGCGGGAGACGCGTTCTCAATCGGCGATGGATTAAACCGGTAGTTTTCATGTCAAATTCGTTGGTCAATAATTATCTTTTGCAGTATTAATCCTTCGATAACTAGTTTCTGGAAATCAAGTTTCGAACCGGTTTCAATTATACATATCATACAATCATATATATGATAGCCATACATATCATACAATAATACTGTATGATACATATGATACATGTAATACATGATACACATAATACATATGATACATAATACATATAACACATGATACATATGACACATGACACATATGACACATGATACATATGATACATAATATATATGACACATGATACATGTGATATATGATACATATGATACACGATACATATGATATACGATACATATGATATACGATACATATGATACATCATACATATTATACATGATATATATGATACATGATATACATATGATACATGATACACATATGATACATGATACACATATGATACATGATATACATATGATACATGATATACATATGATACATGATACACATATGATACATAATATACATATGGCACATGATATACATATGATACATGATACACAAGATACATGATACACATGATACATGATACACATGATACATGATACACATGATACATGATACACATGATACATGATATACATATGGTACATGATATACATATGATACATAATACACATATGATACATGATACACATGATACATGATACACATATGATACATGATACACATGATACATATCATACAATCATACATATAATCATACGTTTTAAATATTTGTCGGAGTACAAAAATTTTATTAACAGCATGCACTCAATCGACAAAGTACATAAAAAATTATTCGTAAACAAAAATAAAAGCTTGCTGCTCATAAAATTCGCAAATAACAGTAACACATGTACAAATAAAATGAAAAATGAAAAAAGGTGGTGTTTACAGAATTTTATACATGCAGATCAATTATCGAATGAAATGTATTTTATGAAGGTAAAATATAAACGAATATACATCTGTTTTGGGTGGTATCTAATTTACTGTTTATTATAAAACAGCTCGAAAGGAGAATGGATCTTGCAAGGACTGTTATTGGCTTCGGCAGCCGTAGGATCGCTTCTGCTCGATTAAATCTTTTTCCCTCTTTTCCCTTTCATCAACTCTGTTACGGAAATCCTTTCGGGAAAGCGGGATCGCGGCGGGTTAAATCGACCCGACGGACTTCCCTCTCGCGGAAATAAAGCTAGCTACCCCGGCAATAAACATCGCGTTTATCTTTATCCCAAGTGGGATTAATACGAGTGGAAATCCGAAGGATAAAGAACAACTATCTCAGAAAGCATGTCAAAGTCGTTGCGAAAGAAAGCAGAAAGGTTCACAGGAAATTATGATCCCGTCTATTAGTTTCCTTTCGAGGAAACGTTACGATGAAATTCTTTCTCATCTCGAGTAAGAGATACTCCATAAACGGGATGACTCGACAAACGACGGCATAATGCGATATTAAAAGATTATAGCGATGGACAGAACAAGAATTATGATACCAATCTGACTGAGAATGTTATTTCAATTTTCACAAGTATTTTACATAATTTTCTATTTTTAGAAAATTTGCAATTTTTAGAAATTTATGTAAAATACTTCTGATTTGTGATGTCATGTATACTCAAATGTTTGTATGTTCATGTTTCAGATGTAAAAACATACTTCACTGTTGAGCTGAAAGTTTGAAATCAAAAGAAAATGTTATTTTGTTACAATAATAAAATTTTTATTTGTTTTGTCATTTTGTCAAATTTTATTGAATTTTATTCTTGTAACAGTTAAAACATTTTTTGGACAGTATTTAATTTATGTACGGTTTACACACATATGTTAAACATATTTTATGTATGGTCCAAATATACATACACATACGATAAACAGTAGTTTACATATGGTTTCTCTATGACCATCTATTATTATATAAATTATTTAAGATATCCTTAAAAGTCCCGACAATATTCTGAGGTGAAGTTAAACCTGAAATTTACTTGCTTAGTGTGTATACTCCCATGATTTTAACGCGAGAGTAAGATAATTGAATGCACGAGCAACATATTTTGAATAAAGGTGCAAGTTTTGTCCAAAATGTAGAAGAGAGTTCCAAACTTCCGAGCTGCAATGTGATTACAAACAAAATGTCATTAATCAAAGATGTAACTTCAAGATAAATTACCCAAGTTTCGCGAAGGATTAATAAATCATTTTAAACAATCTTTATTACCGTAGCTCACCGAATTTCTCTTTTAAAATATCTTTGGCAAGCAGAATTTAATAAACGTAAGAAAGCGATGTTTTATCTATGGTACCACCTTGAAACTTTGTAGCATCCTGCTTGAATTGTTTGCGAATTAAGTGTGTTTAGTATGGGATGACAGAATTGTTTACGGGTTTGTTTACACTTGGAAATTGTGGTGCTTAATTGTGTGAAAATGTGACTTTGCAGTTTTAGAACTTGAGGGTAAATTGGGACTTTAGGTAAATTTATGGAGTTTGGGGATTTTTAGGGTATTGCAAGTTTTGGAAGTTGGGAATTTTTAGGACGTTTGAATTTTGGGGATTTAGGGATTTTTTAAGGTAATTAAATTTTAGGGATTTAGGGATTTTTGAGGATACTTGAATTTTGGGGATTTTGGAATTTTTAAGGATATTTAAATTTCTAGAATTTAGGGATTTTTAAGGATATTTAAATTTTTGGAGTTCAGTGATTTTTAAGGATATTTGAATTTTGGGGATTTAGGGATTTTAGAGGATATTTGAATTTTTAGAACTTGGGGATTTTTAAGAATATTTAAATTTCTAAAATTTAGGGATTTTTGAGGATATTTAAATTTTTGGAGTTCAGTGATTTTTAAGGATATTTAAATTTTGGGGATTTAGGGATTTTAGGGGATATTTGAATTTTTAGAACTTGGGGATTTTTATGGATATTTAAATTTGTAAAATTTAGGAACTTTTAGGATAATGAAATTTTGGGAATTTAGAAATTCTGAGGATGATTAAATCTTTAAATTTTAAGAATTTTTGAAGTGTCTTGAATTTTTGGAATTTAAAGATTTCGATAATTCTTGAATTTGTTAAATTGAGGAATTTTAAGGATATTTGAATTTCTGAAATTCAGGAATTTTCAAGGTTATTTAGGTTTCCAAAATCCAAAAACATTGAGAACATTTGAATTTTTTGATATTATAAATTTTGAAGATAATTGTATTTCTTGAGTTTAGGAACCTTGAGTATATTTAAATTTTTGAAGTTCAAGAAGACTAAGCACATATAAAATCTTTGAATTAATTTATTTCTGAGATCCCTTTACAAACTTCAAAATAAAAGATCCAGGAAAGAGTATAAACCAAAAATTAACCCCGCATTAGCGTACATCCAAAATCCGTGAAGCAAACCCGTCGCGCAGAAATTAATTCTGATTCGTGAGTACATATTGATCTGAATCCCATCCCTGGTAGCTCGTTCCCGTTTCACCTGGTGGAACCACGTACGCGAGAATCGACGCGAAACGAACACGAACACGAGCGAACATCAGGAACGTAGCCACGTCCCCCGAGGCTCGCGTTATTTTATGTCGCTTGTGACTCTCGCATGGTGCAACCCCCTACCACCGTGAACCACCCCCCTCTGTTACCAGCAGCTGGCAGCCATCGAACGAAATACGAAAGACAGAAGCAACGGCCAGAGGGTGAAACGTCCGGGAGAATGGCGTTCTATGAATACGTTTGGAAGTTCAAACGCCTATGCGATTTGCATGTGTCTCCGAGGTGAGGTAGGTGCGGCTAGGTGTCAGAGGGCTGTTCATCCCCCTTCTCCGTTTTCGAACGCAGCCCCGACAGCTACCACCTCGCTGTCTAAAGTAACGATACGACGTCGAAGGGTGAAACCTGTTCTTTTCTTTGTTCGACTGTCGTTGTCAAGGGGTCTGAACTCCCCTGGGGATTGAATTATTTACGATTCGAGGGTGAAGCCGGCCTGTAATTAGACTGTGCTTTTCCTAGTC